GCGAATAATTTTTACTTTTGAAAAGTCGCAAATAAGCGAGGCCACGCCAGCGAACTTTAATTATACTATCGAAGGCTCCATTTGAAATACGGGAGACCGCGATAATATTCAGGATGCAGTAACAATTTTTCGAATAAATAAATATCGTTATTTTTTGCAAAGATGGAAAAATTGAGATATGAATATATTTCAATAAAATAATAAACGTGGGAGGTTTATTGAAATCAGTTTTAAAAATTGATTCGAACGGTTTGTATTTAATTTGCACATTTTTTAAAAGTACCAAGCAGATTATAATTTTTTGTTTTCAAAACTATTATTGTTTGTTGACTTCTTAATTCGCTTATTTATTGTTAAATTACTAAAACAGTAGATGATATTTCAATCTTATAAAACAAAGATTTCTTGTAAGACTGAAATGTATTCGAACTTAAGAATATAGGAAGAGTTTAAAAGCCGAAAGTTAAATATATCAGAGTCGAGCTTAATCTGTTACACGTGCTCTTGTATATCACGAACATTGGGAGCAAGGAATCTCGGAAGTTTTGTAAACATCGGTGTGGTTCGTTCATTTCATCGGGCAATAATTAAATGGAACGGGGTATTATTAACGTTGTCGAGTTGTTATATTTATAGTCCCGTGTTGGAAGTCCATTTACCAACTATGTTATAAGGATGTCTAGAGTGCATATTGCACTTAACTACTCTGTTAAGAGTTTGAGAAAAGATTTGTATTTAACTTGTTATATTTGTCTCAGTTTGCAGATAACTTACGAATATTGATTTATAACTAAAGGTCGTTAATATGCTCTGTTTGAATCCAAGTCATGAATTTTGTCTTGTATTATATTGTCGTTTTCGGACGTAAATTTCCTTTGTTATATTCAGGAAAATAGGCAGACAAGTGTCATTTCTTTTTTCGTAAAAGACTTTGCTCTAATTGTTTTGGTGTGGTATAAATGTATTAGACATAAATTCTTTGTAAATTGCAATAACATTGCGCAGATTTCCATGTGACAAGTTTTGTCATCAGTTGGCAACCGCTAGCTGTGGGCAGCGTTGCTTTCGAAACGAAATATTACGGGAAGCTTGTTAAATTTAGCTTTTAAAACAGAAAAAGTCATTTTCGAGTTCATTCTTCTTGTGTATTTACGTGTGTTTATGTGTGTGATCAAAATAACGAGTTAACATCTAGTTATTGATTGAATTTAGAAGTGGACGAATCTATATCGTTCGGTTTAATAGAAAAATATATATTGTCTAGAATTTCCGTCTGCCCACAAAGGCGGAGATTCTGTCGCTGTCAAATTCAGGTTAAACTTGCCGCTGTGTTTTATATTTTCTAGTCCAGAGTAACGGAAAAGTTTAACTGCTCGAGTGCTTAACTGCTTTGAAACAAGAAATGCAACCACACGACTTTTTTTTAACTTAAACACATTGAGAATGTGATTTATTTATTTAATTAAAACTATGTCCGATAAATTTTCTTATATTTGTACTTTACAAGCTTGTAATGTGAACAATTGCCTTAGCTAGGGAAATGCATAGTTTATCGATCATGAAACTTACAAACTTCGGCTATTTTCAACTTTACGATCTAGCTCACCTCGGAAACTTAAAAGCTGAATTTAACGAGCTGAGATTTATTAAACATTTAACGTTAAATGGTAAACGGTATTGCAATGAATTGAATGTAAGTATATCACTTTTATAAGACTAGTCGGTGTGTCCGTCCGTAACAATACATCTGATATTAATGATATTCTATACATAGAAACATTATATACAAGTAATGTAATATTTACGTTACTTGTATATAATGTTTCTATTTACAACAATTTGGTACTAGGTTAAATCTCGCAGTAAGCAACATTTAAGTATGTGCTCCAAAAAAAGCACAATGACAAATGCCATGAGATTCGTTTGCTGTAAATATCGAAATTTTTAATACCTTTGAATACTTTTTTCCGGTATAGATGTATGCAAATAGTAAAATAACATTGATCTACGGAAACACGTGTGTTCGTTAGTGTAGCATTAAAATGACGCTTTTATCGTATGCTCCAGCGGTCGCAGCTGTCGTGTCTATTTCCGACGAGGGGAGACGTATCTGATCCCGACTGCTCTTCGATCCAAGTGCAGCAGCGACAAGCAATAAACGATCTCAAATGCAACATCACCCACCCCTATTGAACAGATAAAACGACATTTCCATTGTATTTACTTTGTATTTCTTATTTGACTTGAGAAATATATTTGAAACATTTTTAATGTTGGTATAAGATTTGTGCTGTGACATTTTTGGCCAAACTATATATGTTTTTTCGTTTTTGTTGAGATATCGTAAATATTGACAACTTTGAAGAATTATTTTGTCGTACAGATCCGAGAGAAGTCATGAATTGTTTAAATCTTCAAGCTGCAAAAAATGAAACCGACTTAGAAGAACCAAGCGCACCGATATACTACCCAACTCAGCC